TCAAACACACGACACACATTCAAACAAATGCGCAACACACACACAAACACACATTCAAACACATGCACACCACACAGATGCATATTTGTGTTTTCATGATTTATGGGGACTCTCCATATACATAATGTATAATTTAATGTATAAAACATAACTCGTGCTGTACAGACGGTATGTGCTGTGCTCTTCCCCCAAATATACCCCTAAACCTTTTCAAAATGCTTCATTCTGTCTGATTTATGAGCCGTTTTCTTCATGGAGACCAAAAAATGTCCCCACAAGGTCAAAAATGACTGGTATTGCTATACTTGAGGGGACATTTGATCCACACAATATGATGAATACCAGAACTGCACATACACACACACAAACAAACACACAGAGTCTGTCATATAACAACACAGAAAACAGCTGACACACACACACAAACACACACACACACCTGCAGGCATCTGTTGTTAACTGAGTGTGGCATTTGCCTGAGTAAACACAGCAGAGACACCCAAACACAGGCAGGTTATACTCAAACATGCCACGGGATATTGCATTCTTCTGTTTGTGTTTTGTTTTTCGGAGGAAGGGATGGTTGATTTAAATGCTTCTGCAAGTTACACTGTTGCTCCACTAGGTGGCGATGATTGGACATTTTGATAAGTGGTCATTTCAATTGTCCAAATCGTTCAAAAGATTTTTAATCATGGAATCATTCACTAAGTCGATTCATTCAAACATTGGACTGTCCTAAATAGTCAATCATTGAATCAGTCACTCAGTCGATTGATTCAAAGGTACTGATTCACTGAAGAACAAGAACAGACAGTCTTAAAAATGAGTCACTGAATCATTCACTCAGTCAAGTTATTCAAAAGAATTGATTCACTAACAATCAAAATGGGGCTCTCTTCAATAGGGAGTCATTAAATCATTCACTTTGTTAATTGATTCAAATGAATTGATTCACTGAAGATCAAAATAGGACTGCCTTCAAAAGGGAGTCATTGAATCATTCACTCAGTCAATTGATTGAAAAGAATTGATTCACTGAAGATCAAAATAGGACTGCCTTCAAAAGTGAGTCATTGAATCATTCACTCTGTCGATTGATTGAAAAGAATTGATTCACTAACAATAAAAATGGGGCTCTCTTCAATAGGGAGTCATTAAATCATTCACTTTGTTGATTGATTCAAAGGAATTGATTCACTGAAGATCAAAATAGGACTGCCTTCAAAAGGGAGTCATTGAATCATTCACTCTGTCGATTGATTGAAAAGAATTGATTCACTGAAGATCAAAATAGGACTGCCTTCAAAAGGGAGTCATTGAATCATTCACTCAGTCAATTGATTTAAAAGTACTGATTCACTGAAGAACAAAATAGGACTGCCTTCAAAAGGGAGTCATTGAATCATTCACTCAGTCAATTGATTTAAAAGTACTGATTCACTGAAGAACAAAACAGATTACTGTGTTATATTAGCGAGTCGTTGAATCATTCATTTAGTTGATTCATTTATACACTGAAGAACAAAATGAGACATTAAAATTGAGCCAATGAATCACTGAATTACTTGATTCGTTTAATACTGCTGATTCAGTAAATAACAAAACTTTTATATAGAGATTCATATAATGTTTTATATAATAACTGAATCATTATCCCAGTCAATTCATTAGAAAATGCTAAATCACAGAAGAACAAAATAGGACTGTATGAAATAGTGAATCACTGAATCATTCACTCAGTCGATTCATTCAAAAACACAGTTTCATTAAAGGAAAAAATGTGGTCGTGTTAAAAAGTGAATCACTAAATCATTCACTCAGTCAATTAATTTAAAAGAATTGATTCACTGAAGATCAAAATCACACTGTTTTCTAAAGGGAGTCATTGAATCATTCACTCAGTCAAGTGATTCAAAAGAATTGATTCATTAACGATCAAAATGGGGCTGTCGTCAATAGGGAGTCATTAAATCATTCACTCAGTCGATTGATTCAAAGGTACTGATTCACTGAAGAACAAGAACAGACTGTCTTAAAAATGAATCACTGGATCATTCACTCAGTCAATTGATTCAAAAGAATTGATTCACTGAAGATCAAAATGGCACTGTCTTCAAAAGGGAGTCATTGAATCATTCACTCTATCTATTGATTCAACTGATTCACTGAAGACGGGCGACACAGTGGCGCAGTAGGCAGTGCTGTCGCCTCACAGCAAGATGGTCGCTGGTTCAAGCCTCGACTGGCTCAGTTGGTGTTTCTGTCTTGGAGTTTGCATGTTCTCTCCGTGTTGGCGTGGGTTTCCTCCGGGTGCTCCGGTTTCCCCCACAGTCCAAAAACATGCGCTATTGGGGAATTGATCAAATTAACAGGCCGTAGTGTGTGAATGTGTGTGTGAGAATAAGTGTGTATGGGTGTTTCCCAGTACTGGGTTGCAGCTGGAAGGGCATCCACTGTGTAAAACATATGTTGGCGGTTCATTCCTCTGTGGGGACCCAAGATAAATAAAGGGACTAAGCTGAAGGAAAATAAATAAATGAATAATAATAATAATAATAGGAAAATATAATTAGAAATCAAATATAATAGGAAATACTGTGGAGAAAAGAATCTTTGCTCTGTTGAACATCGCTTTGGGAAAAGATTTTACTCTAATACTGTTGTGTTCAACTATATTTGATGTCATTTTGTTTGCCATTAGTGACACACACACACACACACACACACACACACACACACACACACACAGTAGAACTGGCTGTGTTTCACTCGCGGTGTCAGTAAATGCAGGAGAATGCAGTTTATCAGCTCTTAGAGAAAAAAATCCTCGTTAAATGATTTATTTGTTCCACTATTTGTGAGTAAATAGCTTCATTAGAACACACTGGAGCAGGAACACACACACACACACACACACACACACAGAGGGAGACAGCAGGAGGCCAGAGCGACTGCACACACATCAGCTCATAATCAGCAGTTCTGTGAACAGGTTGTAAACAGAAGAGCAGATTAGAGCATCTATGAACAGTAAAGCCTGTCAGAGCGGAGAGAATAAAAGTGCTGATGGCTGCAGAGTAAACAAGCAGACACTACAGTAAAACACTGTGCTGAACATACAGCTGACGTCTGAATTATTAGTAGCCCTGCTGTTAAATATTAATCCTACAATTTCTGTTTAACGAAGATTTTCTTCAGCACATTTATAATCATAATAGTGTTAATATCTCATCTCTAATAACTGATTTGTTTTCTCTTTGCCATGATGACAGCACATAATATTAGACTACAAATACACTAGTATTCAGCTTAAAGTGACAATTAAAGGCTTCACTAGGTTATTCAGCACTGCACACTATTATTAATGACAGTAAAAGTCACTTTTTGGAATTTTTCAAGGTTAAATGTTGTTGCAAGAAAGATCAAGATCCCACAATACAACTCAAAAGCAGAAATAAATGAGGAAAAATACAAACATCACTCACAAAATGTGGAAATCTGCTCATTTAGGTATATTTTTACCAGTGTGTGTTGGAATAAAGCTGTAACTGAGCGCTGGGTTATTGGCGGATGAGCCCTTAATGCTGACTATACTTTAAAGACAGAGAGACGTCTGCTAGCAGTGTGTGTGCGTGTGTGTGTGTGTGTGTGTTTACTGCACTGAATAAACACACACTCCTGCTAATAGAGATAGAGACGCTTTCATACACATGACTGTTTACTCTTAGGTTCTGCTGGATGATGGAGAACACTGAGCTCTTTCAGTGGAGTAACGGTTTCACACACAGCCCTGGAGAAAGAGACTCTTAAAGCAGAGATTACACACACACACACACACACACACACACACACACAGTACATATGCTTTACATGTACATTCATGCATACATACACACACACATACACACAGTACATATGCTTTGCATATACATACATGCATACACACACACACACACATACACACACAGTACATATGCTTTACATGTACATTCATGCATACACACGCATACACACACACACACACACACACATACACACAGTACATATGCTTTGCATATACATACATGCATATATACACACACACACACACACAGTACATATGCTCTACATGTACATACATGCATACACACACACATACACACACACACACACACACACACACATGCATACACACACACATACACACACACACACACACACACACACACACACACACACACACACACCTATACTCTCTTACACACGTACACACAGTGCACAGAGCTCAGCCTGTTCTCAGAAAACACACACGGTCGTCA